TTCCTGCGAAGCAAGCTGTGGAGACATCCGCAGAGCTTGCTCAACGTGTTCATCAATGTCAGTATGTTGGTATCCTATACACCCACATTCCACACAGAAATTATCCACTATGGCATAAGCACAGTGTGATTCCACAGTTCTGAAAGCCTGAATAGCAGTGTGCACACCATCTTTTCCTCAAGCAATGTATGTTCTTCCTTCCTATTCTACAAAAATAACACTAAATAAAAATAATAGAAATAATAATGTTACTAAGCACAAAATCTTCAGTGAGTTACGTTCTAAAATTCATCAACTAGCTTAATACCCAATCTTTTTCAATGTTACAGAGATGAACTGTATCAAAAGCAGTGATTTCACATATTTGATTATGAAATTAAAGCTGATATATATAATATCTTCAACCAAACATTTTTTAAGCAACTGACGAGCTTCTATGGTACTCTGGCACCAGAAAAATATATTTGAGGATGTGCAATGACATCAATCTATTTAGCAAATACTTCTGTCTTTAAATGTATCTATTACTTTATGTTTTCTTGTATTGAATTTCTCTTCATTCTTATTTTTATTTGCTTTACTGAGACCTTTATTCTAACTTTGCTATATACCACTTTGAATATTTGTCTTCTGCAGACATCTTCCCTTTTGCTACACATTGCATTCTCACTTTTCCTGTATATTTTGTGCTCTTCTCTGCCATCTCCTAAAAATCTTCTCTATACATTGTTCCTTTATTTTTATTAATTCCATTTGTTTCTGACCAACACAGTCATCCATACACAAGAAAAACAATAAAACTTGTTACAAACTGATAAATGAAGCATACAACATAGAGAAAGCAAAATGTCCAAGCAAAAGCTTGGACACAACTATTCAACATAGTGAAAAATAGAAGAGAATACAGTTCAATTTTGCGGCAAATACTGAAAATATTAAACAAATGTTAAAATATAATATTAAGTAGATAGTGTAGTATTTTTCTTCATACATAAAAAATTTCATCCTATCAAACAACAACAAGAAAAAATTATTTTTCTTCTATTTCAAAAATTGTTAGCAAGTACTGGAGTATTTAAATAATGTAGCAAGTGATGTAATTTCTAACAGCAGTCTTTAAAAAGACAGGAAAAAAATGTGAATGTGAGCTAAAGAGAATGAAAAAATGGGTGAATGGGATAATCGGAGAAAAACAAAGGAAAACGTAGAAAACCTGTATGCTCGTATTCTCCCTTTTTTTTTCCTTAAATCTAGTGTTATTAATTCAAATCATCCAATCAACCAGACAAAAAAATCCCAAAGGATTCCATTAATACATCTTTTTACCAACAGTTCTGTCACATAAAGACACAGAAATGTGAAAATATAGAGCTTGCTTGTATCTAAGACAGTGTTCAATTGTTAATTTAAGCTGAAACCTACAGCAAAGCTGCCTACTTTTATAATACTATTAATACTTCTATAGAGACTTCATTCTACACTCTCATTCTAACAGACTATAGTCAAGGTTTTCCTAAGGTATCGAAATTTTAAAAGTACTATTAATGAATTCAGAATAGCACAGACAATTAAGTTTTGATTTAAACTCACATACATGTACATGTATAAATACACACCAACATACACAATTTTTGATGTGTGCACACATACTTGTAAATAGTATGCACGCATCACCTGAAACACCTGAACACATGGGAAAGGTAATGGCCTAAACATTCATTTGTGCATTTTTATCTTTTACATACCAGTTTTTGTTTTACAATTATTAAGTGTAAAACCAATCACAGCAGATTTTTTTTATTGTGTCTTTTTCAGTTTGTGTCTGTGTTTGGTCTTCAAAAGGCAGATACAGCCATGTTCAGTAAGGAAGGAATAGGGATATGAAAAGACTCAGCTAAAGATGATGTTAGCGACTTTGTTTCAAGGCTCCTAGACACCAGGATTAGTCTTAACTCATCCAAATGAAAGTACCTCCTTTTCAGATATACAAAAATAAACTGTTACTGAGATGATTTTGTCACCTCTTTCAAAAAACAAATGAATCCACATTATCATGGGAAGCATCAGTTTGCTTGTCTCTCCCTAATTAACAGGTCATTACAGAACTTTAGTAAAGAACTTTTGTGACTCTTCTTTCTATCTCAATGCTGCTTTTTTTTTAAACACTTACAATAAAATCTACCTTTGTAGATCACTTTTAAAAAGTATAAATTTTTGAAGATTCTACTGATTATAAACTTACTTACAGAGTTAAAAATAAGTCCTCATGCAAACTCAAGTTTCAGCTGCAGCTCTTTATGGCATCTAATGTTTGGGTATACAAACTACATAGTGTTACTACTTCATTTTACTACACAGTGTATTGAAGTTGTGATGCAGATATATATATATATATACCAAAGGTAAAGTCATAGTGATCTTAGGGTCTTCCTTGGAATGGAATAGTTTTGCAAGAGTTTGGAGGGCTAGTGGAGACCTAAGATATACCAACAAATATTTGAAAACCACCTTTTTCAATGTTACAGAGGTGAACTGTATCAAAAGCAGTGATTTCATATATTTGACTATGAAATTAAAGCTGATATATATAATTTCTTCAACCAAACATTTTTTAAGCAACTGACGAGCTTCTGTGGTACTCTGGCACATTTAAATTAAAATTGTTATCCAATATGAATTTAACACAGCATACTACCCTATGTAAGATACTGAAAGTGGTATTGGAAACACTTCATTTGTGCTAGGAGTCTGTTTTTAAAAACAAAAGAGTTAGCATGTTAACTATTAGGAGTAATGCACTGTTTGATGTTGTTGCAGACATCATCACCGAGCTGCCATGCTTAAGCTTAAGATTTTTATTCCATAAATAAAAAACATTAAGAAGGGACCTAGAAACAATTGCTATGCACACTATCACTTTAAATGTTTGCCAAATTTTTATATTTTGAGGTGGAAGAGGGAAAACATTTATAGTACTTCTTTGGTCTCTTTTTTTTTTTTAATTTGAAGTTAATTCTGTGCATGAGAATCAGACTGTATGGCTGCCTCTACACAGATTCATAAACAACAGATAAGGGCTCTTTCGTTACATTTTAAGATGTTAATTCAGACTTCTACTGACAGAGATATGAAATATTCCTAAGAATAATTCTAGCAGAAATGCCAAGCTGACATGCATGTCTTTGTTGCAACTAAGGATGCAGAAACACAATAATGCATCTGATTTGCCATTCGCTGCTGAAGTATTTAATGAGAAACACAAGTCTACATCTTACTAGTAAAACAATCTCCATCTACGACTGCAAGACAGAGACATTCATTCCATCATGACTACTGAAGCGATTACCTTAGAATCAAATAATCATCAGGTACCTTTATGATTTTCATCCCTCACGACGTAGATTTTGACACCGTCCCTCACAACATCCTCCTGGGCAAGCTCCGGAAGTGTGGGATAGATGAGTGGACAGTGAGGTGGATTAGGAACTGGCTGGATGGCAGGGCCCAGAGAGTGGTGATCAGCGGTGCAGAGTCTAGTTGGAGGCCTGTGGCTAGTGGGGTCCCCCAGGGGTCAGTGCTTGGTCCAGTCCTGTTCAATTTATTCATCAATGACCTGGATGAAGGCACAGAGTGCTCCCTCAGCAAGTTTGCTGATGATACCAAACTGGGAGGAGTAGCC